TCTGTGAAGGTTGGGAACAAATCTCATGTGGCTTGGATTTTTCTGTTGACAGGCTCATCACCAAAGTGGTTCTCACACTGTACTACTACCTTCTAGGCATAATGACTCTATCTAGGTTCTTTCAGGCTTTCCCTCTTTGATTCTCCAAGTCTCTAGCCCAACATGCAGAAGTGAATCATCATCTGTCCCAGGTTCTCATTATGTATGAAGGATAGAAGGAATGTCAATCCTCCAAGTTTCCAAGAAAACATGTATTTAAATACTCTCAATTTTTGATAGAGTGTAGCAGAGTACTGCTTATTCCCCAGTTTTCTCCTTCATACTATATTAATAGAATGCCTAAAATAAAGATTATACATTTTCAACCTTACTCTGCAGTTTAAAATGATTATTTTAAGAAGTTCTGGCCAACAAGTATGAGGGGGAATGATGTATGGAACTCTCAGGATATATCCTTAAGGAAGGGTCATGCCCTTTCTCCAACATTCCTTCTCCCAGTGTCCTCTCTTTCCATTCTGCTGCTCTGACTGTAGACATGGAGGTACACTTTGTTAACCAAATGTACTTCAGATTATATTCTATGGATGGTTATACAACAAGTTAGAAGGAACTTAAATGACAGCCCAGATGACATTAAGCACAGCTGCCGTACCAGTCTTGGACCACCTGCGGAGAGAGTTGATCTGCCAGGGTCCTGGATATCCCTGAACAACTTTTTGGATATACCAAAAAAAAATGAAAAATTTTGACCACTCTTTAGTCAGCCATTTATCAGGGTTATGTTTGCAATGAGCAGCCATGAGGTATGAGGTAACATCTTTTACTAGACAAAGAACTGGCTTTCTTACCACTCACCATAAAAATGGTAGATTACAACTGTAATGCTAACCTATTATGTGTTCCACCTTAGCCCTTCCACATGGATCTTGGGGGACAAGGGGAGATAGTACCAATATGATGAGTATATTTCTCACTATGCATTGAGTAATAAAATCCTTTGTTTCAGATTCAGGAGTCTTGTGTCTTCTTCCAGCACCCATGAACCAGTAATTTATGAGCTTGCATGTAGGGTCGGATTCACCAGATCTAACTACCTCTAGATTATTTTAGAGAGAAATCAAATTGCATCTCTCTCTTTTTTTTTTTTTTGAGAGAGAGAGAGAGTTTTTTAATATTTATTTTTTAGTGTTTTTCAGTGGACACAACATCTTTATTTTATTTTTATGTGGTGCTGAGGATTGAACCTAGTGCTCCGCGCACTCCAGGCGAGCACATTATCGCTTGAGCCACATCCCCAGCCCCAAATTGCATCTCTCTTTAGCCCCTGTTATTTTGGATTTCTATTACAAGTAGCCAAATCTAATCTAATCAAAGAATAACTTTTCAAAGTTCTTATTTGACAAAAAAATCATGCTTATTACATCTTTTTAAATGTTTATTTTTTATTTATTTTAATTAGGTATATATGACAGCAGAATGCATTTTGATTCATTGTACACAATTACAGCACAACTTTCATTTCTTGGTTGTACACAATGTAGTGTCACACGGTATGTGCAGTCATACATGTACCTAGGTTGATACTCAAATGAAGCCAAATATAATCCATTTAAAACCAGGAAATTAAACAATGATAAATGTATGCTACTTGGGACCTCTTGGGAAAGTGTCATATGAGAATTAAGAGGACCATATCATTCATGGTTCCTGTGGTTAGCAAATATCAAAGGCATTGTTAACTTGAATCAAGCTGTTAAAATTATGCAAGTGACTTCTCCACATTTGAATGACCCAGTTTTTTTTAGTTGCTTAAACATTATTTTCTTTCAAGTATTATATTCACCAATACCTCAATATAAAATTCTATATTATAAGAAATAGAATCCAAATGTACTTGGAGAACAGATTATTTGACCTACCGGTTCTGAGAGTTCTTCTTTATGTGTTTGGCAGCTCATATCCTTTGTAAAACAGCAGAATAACTGAAAATATTGAGAAAGGCTCAAACAAGTTTGCATCACTACCTCGTTAATCAGGAGATCAAAGATGAAACAAGAGTAAATGTGAGGATGTGTCAATAACCTGCAAATGAACCACTGACAAAATGTTGAAAGCTCTTCCATGAGACATGGATGTGTCAAAATATTTTTAATGCTTAATTTCTCTACAATAATTTCTTGTGTTTTTTTTCTTACTTCCAACATGTTCACAATTCTTAGCCCCATCATTCTTTTTTTGGAAATTAAGCAGTGATAAATGTATGCAACTTAGGACCTCTTAGGCAAGGGTTATATGAGAATTAAAAAAGACCATATCATTTGTGGTCCCCTGGTTAACAAATATCAAAGGCATTGTTAACTTGTTTCTGCATTCTCAGCACCCATTCTCACTTTGGAAATAGCAATTCACACTTTGCCTTAGGGAATCACTCCCCCCCCACTCCCAATCCATATTGTTGGATGAAGCTGATTCTATCCTATGAAACACCAGGTAATTGGTTTAGAAAAGCATCTAATCCAAGTCTGCCCAAAGATGTTCAATTTGGGGACTTCTGTTGCTACTATTAGAAGTGGAAAGCTTGTTTTATACTGAGATTGCAAACATAGGATAATATAAACCTAGGGATGCTAAAATCATTAGGTAAAAAGAGCAATTCTGAAATTAAGGCCAATGTATCAGAGAACAAAACCAAGAGGGCAAGAAAAAACAAGTCCTACTGATACAGTTTTAGCCTAGATCCATCCATGCCTAACGACAGGACTTTTCACTTTGTTAGCCAATAAGTTTTCCTTCTTGCCTAAATCAAGTTGGAGTTGGTTTATAACTTTTGGAACTAAAAGAATACTAACTCTTGAAAGTATTGTTGTCAAAAAGGACACCTACAAGTGACTATTCCTTCCTAGCAAAGAATATGCTTAACAAAGAATATGCTTAGGCTAGTCGTTGCTCCAGCATTTCTATAAATAGGAAGAGTTAGATGCTATAATCAAATCAGAGAGGACTGAATGAGGAACTTGTTTAGAAGCCACTTATAAAATTGGTTAAATATCTATTATCATAACAAAGAATAGGAGTAAAAAAAGCCCAAAGGCAACATCACTGACTCAAACTAAGAAAAAGTCAATCAACATTGTTTCCAAAGCACTAACAGGGTCATATATATATATATATCTCAATGCCTACCAGAGAGGCAGGATGATATAGTGCTATGGGTTCAATTCACAGCTCTATAATTTACAGAACTAAATAATCCTGGAATAGTGATTTAAATTCAGGAGGATACATTTTCACTTAGATAATGGAGATCATTTTACAGCTATTGTAAGATTAGATCCAAAATAAGTAAATCACATAGCACATACATGTGCATACATATATGATATTCTTTGAATATATTAAGAGCTTACCTTCTGCCATAGCAGTAACAGATTCATGAATTTTTTAATAGATGCTAAAATGATTGGTTAAGGTTTATGAGGTAGCAGAAAATGATATGACGTATTGAGCACCTAGGAGCTGTTTAAAGGAGATCAAAACATCAGTTCAGTAAACTGTAATGCACAAACCTGGATTGGATCCTTAGCTACACAAAAAAGTCACTATAAAAGACATTATTGAGGAGAATGACCAAAGTTGAATATACTACAAATTATATAATTATATATTTAATATTAGATTTCTAAAATTTTATAATCATTCTGTGATTAGGCAAGAGAATACCCTTGTTCTTAGACAATAGATGCTTATTATATTTTAGGGGTGAAGGGTTATGACTTCTTTTACTTACTCTAAATGGCAAAGAATAAGGAGGATAAGGAGAAGAATAGTAATATAATTAGAGAGCAAGAGGAAAGAATTCAAGTTAATCTTAAAAATTGGCAAATATATGTTTAGAGTATGTTTCTCATTCTTATAATTTTCTGTAGGTTTGAAATTCTTCAAAATAAAAAATAAGGTGAAACAGAAACAAATTTTAACTTAAAATTAATAAATTCCAGATTCTCCCTTTGATCCAGCAATTCTAGTAGGAATCTATTTTACCTGTATTCCTATCTAACTACATAAAACAATATCTACTTGGGCATCCATGATCAAATTTCTTATAATCCCAAATGCTGGTAACAACCTGGATGTCTATTAATAAAAGATGAATAGTGGTACATCTACTAAGTGGAATACTCTGCAGTTATTATAAGGATCAAGTTAGTCTACAAAAAATGGTACAAAAAAAATCTAAACTCGGGCTGGGGTTGTGGCTCAGTAGAGTACTTGCCTAGCATGTGTGAGGCACTGGATTCAATTCTCAGCACCACATAAAAATAGATAAATAAAACAAAAAGGTCCATCATAATTTAAAAATAAAGAAAGAAAGAAAAAAGAAAAAAATCCAAACTCTGTAGTGGAGTAACAAAAGACAGTTAACAGAAGAGTTAAGTATAATATACTTTTGTTTTATCAGCAATCATATGTTATATTCAAATTTGGTTATTTTCCAAATTATTTTTATGTCAAAATTAATGCATACACATAATTGAAAAACAAGTACTATTAAAATAATTATACAATAGTCTCTTTTTCTACCTTTACCCAGCTATTACTCTCGCTCATCTCAGATAGTTATTTTTAATTCTTTCAGCTGCTTATGTTTTCAAAGAGGCTATACATGGCCATGACATTCAAAATATTTGACAACTAGGAAAGTGTGGGCCTCTGTAAATCATAACCCACTATGACTGGCTGGAGAGTACTTCATGCTGCTGTGTGTCCTGGAGGGGTGTGTGTGTGTGTACATACGTATGTGTGTTTTATGTGTGTGCTGAACACATCTCTTTGTATAGGCATGATAATTTTCTGGGAATACATGCAAGAATCCATTAATAATGGTGGTAGGATAAACTGAGAACCCTAAGAAATACACATAAGGGATCATATGATTACATTTGAACTAAGGACAGAACTGCTGTGTTACTGGATGGCAAATGCAAAGCAAGGTTCTGAAATGATTTTTAGAAGGGATATTTATTAAGCTGTGCAAAAGAGGCAATTGGTTGGGGAGAGGAACTCTGGGAGAAAAGAAGATCCTTTCAAAATATTTTCAAGTTCCTGAGTGCTGTGTGATTTTACTTCTTTCCTGCTTTCCCACAAATCTTAAGCAAACTCTTTCTTATTCATTGTGGCATTGGATCTATTTTCTAGGAGCAGATGACTGGATATTTGTGACCTCAAGCAGTGGCTTTCAGGGGGGAATCATTTTCCATTCTCTTTGAGCTTCCATTCTTTTGGCAGGAGATGCGTCTTAGTACATTTTGTGAAGAGATAACAAAACACCATACACCGAATACTTTTTAAGCAATAGAAATTAACTTCTCATGTTTTTGAGACTGGGGAGTCCTAGACAAAGGGGCTGGCATCTGGTGAGGAACTTTTGGCTGCATCATCCGATGATGGAAAGTGGAAGGGCTAGAGAAGGCAAGAAGAGAGACAAAGATTAAACCCATAGCCTCAGGCCTTTTTATAATCAGCATGAATCTATTTGTGAAGGTGGAGCCCTTGGGACCTAAATACCTCCCATTAGGCCCTACCTCCCAACACTGTTGTACCGGTATTAATCTTCCAATACAGCTTTTTGGGAGGCAAATTCAAACCACAGTAACCTATGATAATAAATAAATTAATATGAAGTAGGTCCAGAGGTGATGAATGCCTTGTTTCTAGGACTTGTGGGTGCTAAGGACTAACTCTTCTTCTTGGACCCTTCTTTTCTTAAGTAAGTAAATGTAATAACCTCGTGAGCCCATCATGAACTAATTCAAGAAACCATGCTTGGTGCAGTAGCACACACTTGTAATTCTAGCAACTTAGAAGGATCATAAGTTGGAAGCCAGCCTGGCCAACTTAGAGTCTATCTTAAAATATAAAATAAAAATGACTGGAAATGTAGCTCAATGGTAAAGCCCTCTTTGTTTTTCTGTGTGTTTTGTTTGTTTGTTTTAAATTATTTTCAGTGCTGAGAACTGAACCCAGGGGTGATTTACCACTGAGCTATATCCCCAACGCTTTTTATTTTTTTATTTTGAGATACCCTCCCTCCAGGTTGCAGTAGTTGGTCTTGATCTTGTCATCTTCCTGCCTAAACTTCTTAAGTAGCTGGGATTACAGATATGTGCCACTGAACCAGGTAAGAAACCAATTTTTTAAAATTTACAATTACCTTACAATTAGAAGATGAACATATTACATTACTAAAAGTACTAGAATAAACAAAGTGCTTTGGAATCCATATTCTCACCTGATCACAATACCAGACAGCAGATAAGGAAGTGGGTTAGTGCTCCCATCTCTGCAGTCAAGCTACCTAGGATCAAATCTGGGTTTCCTGATTTACTAATCCTGTGACCTTGAACAAGTTTTTTTACCTAAGTGTCAGTTTCTGTATCAGATAATAGTGCCTGAGTCAGGGGTGCTTAACACAGTGCCCAGTAAATTTTTAGCACTTTAGTTTACTACTATTCAATTAGAAATAATTGGATGGATTGATCATGTGATATTATTCCCATTTTATAGATGAGGGACCTAAGATTCAGAGTGGTTGAGCTAATTACCAAGCCAGTAAGTGCTGGTGTCTCTTGAACTCAGGTCTTCTGATACAACAGCCAATTCTTCACAACATTATTTGTACAGATTGATGTATTGTATATTCATTCAATAGTTTTGCAGTGCTGAGGATCAAACCCAGAGCCTTATGCATGCTAAACAAGTACTCTAACCATTGAGCTATACCCTTAGTCTTAATAATTATTTACTGAGCATCTAATATGTAACAGTCACTGTGCTTGGTGCTAGGAAATTCTAAAATAATCCCAATATGACTTGCCATCTTTGAGCAATCCTGAAATTACAAAACCTGAAGCTAGGCCCAGAGCTACTTTGTTTCATCCAGCATTAGTTAATAGTGAATTCTGAAGATTTTTACTGAAGTATTTGTGGGGATAAAGATGAGGATTATATCACATTAAATTATAAGTTATTTGAATGCAAAAATCATGTTTTTACTTATAAAGGTATAACCAGAACTTAGCATAATGTCCATCACATACTCACAGAATAGTTGACAAATGAACAACATGCCATATAGCCAAACTGAGTCCATCTTCCTAAAACACTTCTCACGTGTCCCCCACAATACATTCCCTGGCAGCTGCTCCAAAATTGATAAATTGAATTGAAATATAACTCCCATTAACTTGATTCTTCTAGGCATTTCTGGCTTCCTGATACAAGTGATTTTCATCTAAAACCAAATACAATGAGTTTGGGTTACAAAAAAATTATGTAAGTCAAAATATGGAGTCAAGAAGCCAATAGTTGAGTAAACAATGACAATAAAACATAAGAAATGATAACAAAAGATAAGAAATGAGTTCAGATGGTGAATACAAAGTGCCCAATGAAGAGAACTGAAATATCATGGAGTTTAGAGGAATGAGAAAGAGAACAGATGCACAGTAACCTATTCCAGGTCTCTTATAGACAAACTGTATATTGGTTTTAATTATCGAATCTTAGAGAATTTCCTCTGTGTAGCAGCCTGTCAATGGCTTAAGGCTTCAACAACATCTCTATGAATGAGCTGGGGGCTAAGAGGTCCCAGAAACAGCAGACCCTGCAGTTTCTGTGTAGAATGAGGAGGTGGGGGTGGGGTCCAAGCCTTGGTTCACTTCAAAGTGAAACAAAAATGAAGTTAAGAAATCCTGATATGTTTCCTTTTCTACCAAGTCAAGCAACAAGACCTCCCCTGGCGACACTCAGAGATGGCCACTCAAACAAATTTCTTTCATTCTGTGACAGCATGAGCTTGCAGAATGTTGAGAACAGGAGGCCAAGAAAAAAGATGCCGTCTTCCTGCTCACAGAAGAGATTGTAAGACATACTTGCTCACACAGCATTACCAAAAGGGCTTGTGTATGAGTCAGGCACAAATGGTAAGTGGGCTGATGAGACTTGCAGAGTTTATGATAATTTCTGACGAAGCAGCATGCAAGAGCGCCCATCGGTTATTGTATGAGTGTGGTGCGGTCTGTAATTTGACTTGTTTGGTTGGGTCTTCTTGTTATTATAGGTTGTGCTTGACTGAGGCCTGTTGAAAAGTCTTTTTTCTTTTTCTTTTTTTCCCTTTGCTATTAGAATTCTTGTTTAGTGACGAAGAATTGAGACTTTGTGGCAAGAATGCTAAATACTCCTTCAAGCTACACAGGCAGAAAAGGATGTGAGATAGTTTTATGTTTTATTAGCATCTGATTACAGGAACATGATCCCAGTTCCCCTGATTTCCTGATCACAGATGATTTCTGCACTCACCACAGTGTAGTTGGACACTGTCTGAAGCATCCAGGAATAAGGTCAAATGCAGGGCAAAGCACAAGGGATAGGTATGCAGAGGGATTGAACAAAACATGTCTCTAGGCTCCTAGTATCCCCCTCCATTCCAGGGCCAACACTCTTCTGGAGTTGCTACATTTAGCAAAGAATGCATACAGTCATGCCTGTATTTCATCTCATAGTCCTTTAGGGTTTAGTCCTCTGCCATCAGAGCCTAATTTGGCAGAAAATATCTGAGTTAGTTATCAGACCTTAAAGCAATATTTCAAGTCTGGACCCAGATAATCTGCATTAGCATAACCAGAGGGTTGGGAAAAAATGAGAATTCCTGAATCTTGTCCTAGGTTCCCAGAATCAGAAATTGCAGGAGTGGGCCTAGGAATCTGCCTTTAATTATGAGGCCCACTAAAGCAAGAAAAGAATTCAATGACCTCAGTGTCTTTCCTCTCCCATCTGTATATACTTAAGGACTTCATCCTACTTGTAAAGGAGACAACAAAGGTACAGTACTTGACCTTTATAGGGACTACAATAATTACATGTTTCCTTAATCCTTTCCTAAAGGGACTTTGGACTTCAGAAACAAAATGGGTATCTACCCATGGCTCCTCCTTGAAGAAAAGAAAGTCTGAAGCTATCTCTGATCACCTCCAAAGAAGGGCCTAACCCCTCTACCAGACCCTGTCTAGGTTGCTAATGCCTGCCAGCAGTCTGAGGAGGTTCCTCAGGAGTGACTCCATCAGGACCATGTCTAGGGCTTCATCCTGTGTTACAAAAAGAGCACATCTTCAATCAGTGTGCTAAGAAGCCTGCAATGACCTACCCCCTCTCTAAATTACCTCTGTACTCTTTGTTCTGCATCAAAGTGTTAACTAGAATTTTCTCCAAGATCTGCCTCTTTGTCCCTAAGTCTGCTCTCTGCATTTTCCAGTACTTTGTCTGACAATCAGCCATCAACAATAATGACCAGATCATTGCACGCTGAAAAAGTGTGCAGGAGAAGGGGATGGGACACAGAGAACTCAAGATTTGGGTTTTGAAAGACTACAGGCTCCAAAATGCAATTTCACCTCCCAAAGACTACCATTCCCAACATGCAGTGCAGCCAGGGTCAGCAAACGCTTGGCTTGCCTTTCTGTCACCTCAGGCAAAGGAAGGATATGGAAAAGCCCCAGAGGATATTTGTGGCAGGAGTGGTCACTGGCTAAATCCAGGCAGGGAAGCGGAGCGGAGTCCCGCCCCTCCTGCAGTAAGCGCCTCAACTCGGCTGCTGGAGTTCTAAGAGCACAGAGTAGCTGCACGCCCCGAACTTTCCCCATGGTTTCGGTGACCAGAACAATGTTTGGAGAGCTGCCCTCCGGAGGAGGGACAGTGGAGAAGTTCCAGCTACAATCAGACCTGTTGAAAGTGGACATCATTTCCTGGGGCTGCACCATCACCGCTCTGGAGGTCAAAGACAGGCAGGGGAAAGCCTCCGACGTGGTTCTTGGCTTTGGCGAGTTGGAAGGTGGGTTCCACCAATCCCGGGCGGAGGGGATGATCAGGACCACCCTTCACGCACCCCGAACTTTCGGCCGCCTGTGAGCAAGGGACTGAGGTCAAAGTCCCTGAGTGATCTTGGGACGATCTAACTGGGGAGTGCGTGGGTTGGCTAACAGGGCAGTGTGGCGATCCGGAGCTTGGGGGGAAAAATGAAAACCCAGAATGATTCCAAGTCGAGTAGCTAAAGGACTTGGTTTCTTGTCTGCTGGTTATCCATTCAGGCTTTGCCTCAGTTAACGCAAAAAGTGAGACCAAACTCCAGCAATCCTGGAGCAAACTTTGAACTGCTGGCAACGGGGGCGTGGCTCCTTCTTCTTCCGGTTCTGCTCTTTTCAGAAGAAGGAAAAGCAAAGACTTGCGTCTACTAGTTACTCTTCATCAGATTCTCTTTGAAGACTGATTGTCCCAGAAATGCTCCATGACTTAAGCTGAGTGCAGGCTCAGCAGAGAGCTTGGCTGTTTTGGTTATGATGCCCAGCCCAGCCCACCCTGCTTGCCGCTCAATAAGCATGTACTGACGGAAAGGGAGAAGACCACCTCTAACTAGATGGACTTTCTCCCCTTGGGGTCTGTGGGCAATTAGGATCATGTGTTAATTCATGCATTTTAAAACTCTGGTAACACATTCGACAACACAGACAAGCCTCCACGCCCACCCCCCTTCACAGAGCTTGCCGTTTAGCTAAGGAGATGGTTTTTAACCCAAATAACTCCATAAATGTATAATTACAACTGCAGTTGGATTGTAGCAAGAGATTGGGTATATGGTTCTATCTCTTGGCACTGCAGTGTAACCAAACAGAAACTGGGGTCTGAAATAAAATTGGCGAAGGGAAACTGAGAATTAATAAGCTCTGCTGGCTGATGGGTGTGGACAAATTCTGCATTGTAAGAATATTGCTGAAGGTCCTATTGATCACCTCTGCTTGTCTTCACCAGCCCTGGAGCCCCACAGTTTTCTTTATATGATCTTTTAGGTATGACCTAGGAAAAAAACAGTAATGCCTTTTGTGAGTTTTGCATACCATTTCTTATCTTTAAAATTTTTTCTACTTGTGTCCCACCTACAGTTCTTACGGCTTCTTTCAAAGCCTGTTATGAGAATATTTGCTGGTAAGCCACATAGATAAACAACTTACCCATAAAATCCATGAGATTCCTTTCTTTCATTTCCCCCCAGTTACTACCAAACAGCCATCTATTACTGCCATGAGTCATTATGGCACTTGCCCAGCACATGTGAGGCCTGGGTTAGATCCCCAGAACCTCAAATAAACAAACAAAAATGCTTCTTTAGCAGCAACTTAAGTGAGGAGGCTGGTACAGGAGGCTGACTGTAGGAAGGTACGGGGATGTGAGAAAGATCAGCGTCACTTCCCTTCCACACATCTTCAGAATTAGAAGCCGAGAGGGCAGGCAAGTGACCAAAGAGGATTCTCTATAATCACTTTGCCGAGTCACTTGTCTCTGCTATAGGCTGCAGATAGAACCACAAAAGATTGCATCTATTTTTTGTTTGTTTGTTTCAGTACTAGGCCTTACACATTCTAGGCAAGAGCTATACCACTGAGCTATATCTCTGACCTTTTTATTTTAATTTTGAGATAGGATCTCCTTAAATTGTCCAAGCCAGCTTCAAACTCCAAATCCTCATGTCTCAGCCTCCCAGGTAGCTGGGATCACAGTTTGCCCACCACACGCAACTCAAAGAGTTTACCTGACTCATGCAAAATTGTTCAGGGGAGTCAAAGGAGAATTGGATATTTAACCTGGAATTCCTGATCCACGGAAAAAAATTGGGGATATAAAATTGTGGGTACCATCCCTTATCACCATTCAGAAGGTACTGTCCACCCCCTGCAGACATATGCACACCTCTCTTATTTCCTGAAATTTTTAGTTCTAAGAGTCACATGAATGTAAAAGCACAAAGATCTTTGGAATTCATATGGAATGTGAGCTGTGACGACAAGCTTCCCGATGACATGACACCCAGGAAGCACCAGTTTCTTGATAGGTGTGGAAGTGCAAAGACATTCACATAATCCTGTGTGAGACTGTAAACCTTGTGGGAGTCTCGGTGAAAGAATCCTTCCCAAATGTTCTTAAAAGGAAGAAAACACGTTAGCTCCCCTAGATTATAGTGATCTAGCTGGTATTTTATTGCCCTCCCTAGTACCAACATATGTTGAGAATGTTCAGTGGCATTTTCTCAGCAGAAGGCACCACAGCTTCACAGAACGCCAATTTAAATCAAAGCATTTCAAATATTCTTCTTGGTGCTGGTCCAAGATGGACATTTTCATTCCTGTGCTACAATTCAGATAATTTAATTATTTTAAAAGGAAAGAAAACTATTTTCAAAAGACAATATAAGGGGAAAACACCCTCAGTATATTAAATTACACTTTCTGATATGTTCAGCCATCTTTAAGGTTACCATAAATGGACCCAAGTTTCTTTTATAAGGCCTTGTCTTTTAGTATTGCTAAAGATAAGACTTCACATATGTCATAATAGGAAGCATATTGCCTCAATCAGAAAGTAGGAAATGGCTCTCTGCTACTATTTTGGTTAATTCTAATTTATTAAAAGCCATATTAGGAAACTACTAACCTCAACGTAGTGATGCATTCTTGTAATCCCAGCTACACGGGAGGCTAAGGCAAGAGGATCTCAAGTTCATGGACAGCCTAGGGAATTTAGTGAGACCCTGTCTCAAAGTAAAAAGTAAAAAGGGGTTTCAATTTAGTTTAGTGGTAGAGCATCCCTAAAAGAAAACTAGCCACAGTGGTTGTCCTTAAGAAAGGACCTTGGATAGTTAAGGTGTAGGAAAGGACCTTCTTTATATTCTTTTAAAATGTCTGATTATGTGAGTACATATAAACATACAGGTAAATAATTTAAAGTAATAAGATTTGACAGAGCAAGGTATTGTCTTGACATTATCATGTTCCAAAAGTGTTTTGAGCTACAAGGGAGAGCTAAGCATGAGTAATTTGATGAGACATAGTCCTTTTGTAACTGCCAGGTTGGATGTGAACACTCTCCAGTTTCCCAGATAGATTATATAAATGCTTGGATGACAGCCATAACCAGAGGTCAGAATGGCTCGATTTCTCTCTGGGAAAATGAGATCTTTCTTCTGAAGGATTCTAAAGAGTAAATTATCCGATCTTTTAGGTATGACCTAGAAAAAAAACCTTCTGTGAGTTTTGCTACCATTTCTTTTCTTTAAAAATCTTTTTTATCTGTGTCCCACCTACAGTCCCTATGACTCCTTTCAAGCCTGTTATGAGAATGTTTGCTTGTAAGCCACATGCATAAACAACTTACCCATAAAATCCATGAGAGTCCTTTCTTTCATTTCCCCCCAGTTACTACCAAACAGCCATCTATTGCTGCCATGAGTCATTATGGCACTTGCCCAGCACATGTGAGGTCATGGGCTGGATCCCCAGAACTTCATAAATAAATAAAGAAACAAAAATGCTTTTAGAAACCTGGGTTAAGCAGAGGAGGTGGGGATAAAAGCAATCAGGTTAGAGACTGCAGTGTAATATTTCAAATGCCTAAGAGTACCTTTATGGGAGCATTGAGGACTCCCCACTTTGTCTTTTAATGTTGTGTAACATCTTGGGCAAGTTTTTTTTTTAACCTCTTCAGAGCAGTGCCTCCCCTGAAACAAATGGATTATGATGATTCAGTGCACTATGATCTATGATATGTGTCTGACCGGAGATGTGTCTGCTTTCTTTCCTTTGCCCCCAAATACCTTCCATCATACGACTAGAACTTTCTATTTCACTTTGTTAAATCTGCAAAAAATTATGTGGAGCTTCAGCTTGGGCAACCAACAGCCTTTTAAAAATATATAACATGTTTGGGATAATTAGAATGCTTGTCAATTAAACTTCGGTTATTTTCCTCATCTGACCAAAAGACAGTCATTCAAGTAATAAATGTTGTTTGGAGTTTTAAAAAATTAATTAAATACATATGCATATGTGCATATATATTTAATATATGTATATATAATAATTAAATTATATACTATACAATATTATGTTATTATACATATAATATTATAATGTTGTTATTGTATAATTGTCATACTAATATTTATAATATTATAAATAAATAATATTTATAGTAATGATGTATAATATGTAATATATTGTATATTACTTATTATAATGTATGCATATATAATTAAATGCATGTGTATAGTTATATGTTTTATATATATGCGTATATAGATATGGATATAGATGTACTTTTTTTTGAGATAGGTTTTACTATGTTGCCCAGACTGGCCTTGAATTTGCAATACTCCTGACTCAGCCTTCTGAGCAGCTGGGATTATAGGTTTTGCACCATCTTGCTGGGTTGTTTTGAGGGAGGGTAGTGAATAATTTATTTCAGACTTTAGAGCACTCTGGTGAAGGTTGGGGCTTTTTGAGGCGGGTGTCATAGTTGGGGATCTTGGGAGGTTAGAGGAGTGGAAAGGGCCATATACCATGCTTAAGCAATTATTGATTTTTTCTGGCCAGTGCCTTGCCCAGGAAAAGGAGCAGACTTTCCCAATCCTCTTTCTCCCACCTCAGCAGCTGATTTGATTAAATCAGTATTCGTGGCTTGACCTAGGAACTTTGAACTTTTCACATAAAACAGAATTTTCTGCAATGAAAAATAACTTATTATTATTATTCCTTATTATTATTATTCCTTATTTAGTCATTCCTTATTCAGAATTTGGGGATTTTCATTTTTCCATAAGACTGATTTGATACAAATGCTTAATTACATTTGAAAATAGTATGAAATCTATTTGTTCTGTTAAGGTTTTTTCAGAGACAGCTTGGATAAGTGGTTTCTCCGTCCTCATGGATCAATTCTTTTTTTTTTTTTTTAGTATTTATTTTTTAGTTGTAGTTGGACACAATACCTTTACTTTATTTTTATGTG